TCCCACCCTGCCTCTGCCGCACACCTGCTACACGCCTGCTGCACGCCTGCTGCCTCCTGCCGCCACCGCTGCCTCCCTCCCTCGCTCATCACGCCCTGCCCCTCCCCCTCCCCTCCCGGCCCGCCCCACCCCTGCAGCGGCACCGGCTCCGCGGGCGCCACCATCCGCCTGTACATCGAGGCGTACACCGCCGACCCCTCCCAGTTTGAGCTAGATGCACAGGAGGTGCTCAAGTCCATCATCGGCACCGCGCTGGAGGTGTCCAAGCTGCAGGAGTTCACGGGCCGCGACAAGCCCACCGTCATCACCTGATCGCGCACAGAGGGCATGTGCAGCTGGCCTGCGCGCGGTGGCCTGCGCTGCGCCTCCCTCCTGCCTTTTGCGCACACGCACAAGTCTGTTGGTAGTCCCCTTGTTGGTCCCTTGCTGGTTTCTCTGTCCTGACCCCTCCCCCTTGTTTCGGCCCCATTGGGCCGCCCGTTACCTCCTCTGCGGCTTTGCGGCAGCGCCGCTCCAAGAGTGCTTGCCTAGCACAGTTTTGCACAAGCGCTGGCCATTGGCCCTCTTGGTGAGGGCACAAACCGAATGAATTTGATTTCAGCATCTGCTGTAAACAACGAACAGACACTCGTAGCAAGCAAAGCTGTTGGGTGCATGCGTAGCCCGGCAGCACAGCGGGAGAACAATGAACAGTGAACCATGAATGGGATGTAACAACTGGAGAAGCTCGACAAACTGCATGTGGCTGGCTGGCTGCGAGCGCAGCCTACTTGCGGTGCTTGGTGCCAACCCTCTTCAGCCCCGCCTGCTGCATAGTGGCCACGCCCTCCCCAAAGCCCTCGATGGGCGGTGTCTCGCTCCACATCTGGCGGTTGAGCGGGAAGGGCTCGTCGTCGGGCACCTCTGCCGCCGCCCGCAGGTGCGGCGGCAGCGCCGCCACCGCCGCTGCCTTGAGCTTGATCTTGGTCGTGACGTCGGCCTGCCACTGCCGGTGCTCCGCCATCTTCCGCCGGCTGTACTCCTTGTGTCTGCGGAATGGATGGACAAGCAGTTTGGGCGCCAGGGTAGCAGGAAGCGACCCAATGGCGGCGGCGGCGGCACGCAGGCGGCGGTGGCGAAAGACCTGCCCTCAGCTGCTCGGCGCACCTCCGCATTCCTTCCTGGTAGTCCTCCTCGCTAAGTTGCACCTTCTCCACCTCCTGGGGCTCCAGCATCTTCAGCACCTTCTGCAGCTTGTTGTCCACCGACTCGCCGCCCCGCTTGGCGAAGCCCGCCTGCTGCTGATATTGCTGCAGTGGCGGGGCGCATGTTTCCCACTGTGGCAGCAGCCTGCTGGCCGCAGCAGCCCGCCGCAAGCAGGTCTGCATGTCCGTCCAGGCGAGCTCTAGAGACCGGCTTCCGCTGCAAAAGCTTGGGGGGATGCTCGCAGACAACGCCAGAGCCGACGATGGGCCACAATCAAGGGTCCGACCAGGCGGCGGCGACACAGCTGTACAATGCCACTCCGCCCCAAACAGGTGCACCTGTTTGGAGCCCTGCACCGCCCCGAGCAGTCGGTACCACTAATTGGTACGGATGCCTCTGGGAGTGGAAAGATCTGCATCCTCATCATACGAGCAACGGCGACTGCAGTTACTGCGTCGTCTGCTCAAAGTCTTGCGCGCTGCCCTTGACTCCTGATTGCATCATACTGCTCCTGAATGGTGCCACAGGGATTCAGTCTTCAGGTACAGATGAATGCAGCTGGCCCTGGGATGCATTTTTCTGCGACCGCCACGCTGGGGCGGGACACCACAGCGTGGCGCTCCCACAGGTGTTTCTTGCTCCCACAGCCTGCCTCCTGCCATATTTGCGCTGCGCCCTCCACGTTGCTTCTGCTACTGCGTCCTCTGGCGCCCCAACGAGCGATTAATGGCTGCCTCTCCGGCAAGAGCTTATGCTCCTTACAGCATCGCTGGGCAAGTCGTTCTGATCACAGGTGCGAGTCAACCAGAGCGACACGCATCGGACGCGGCACGCGGTTGGGCTGGGGCGGGGGTTACTACTAGTTGGTGGGCGGTGCCTGCCCCTGCCCCCGAGACACCACCCACCCGCCCCTCTCCTTCACTTGTTGCAGGCGCCAGCGCCGGCATTGGCGAGGCCTGCGCCTGGCGCTTTGCCGCCGAGGGCTGCAAGCTGGTGCTGGTGGCGCGGCGGCAGGGGCGGCTGGAAGCGCTCAAGGCGGCTCTGCAGCAGCACTACAGCGTGGCGGTGCACACGGTGTGCATGGATGTACGTGACCTGCCGGCCATCGAGCGGCTGCCGCAGGAGCTGCCGCCAGAGTTCCAGGTGAAAAAAAAGGTTTTTTTTTTTTTTTTTTTTTTTTTTTTTTTTTTTTTTTTTCCATCATCGGTCGGCAGTCAAGTCGGCGGCTTGCGTTTTGCCGGGCCCTGCCCCCCCCGCG